CAAATTTATGCAGTATCCTCTTTTCTGACCTCCCATCCATCTCTTAATGACTTTCTGTGAATATAGAAGATGGTACATCAGTTTTCAATGAAGGAGCCCTGTATCAGAAAGCGCTCACAGGGACCAGCAGTTAGCTTAATGGCTATGTCGCTGGACTCCCACGTAGTCGACTGCGGTTCGAGTCCCGGAACCGGTGGCTTAAAACTCACACCGGGCGCATGTGCATGCATGCCCAAGATCCTGAGAGGAGAATGGAGGAGAAGGGATTGCGGCGTGACCATCCCCCCTGGGGGGTGATTTCTCGCTTTCTGTCTCTATGTCTCTCTCTGTCTGTCTGGCAAGCGTACTCGCCCTATAGTGAAAACCTCTCAAAAAAAAAAAGGAAAAGCAGGGTTCGGTCAGAATGTATGTGCCTGAATAGAATGGCAGCCACATTGATCTAAGTTTTGCTCAGTCTGAAATTTCCCTCGATTCAACCAATAATAGCAAAATACCAGGGGACAAGTGTTTTATGCAAGAAGAGCTGCTATAATCAGATTAATGACATGTTATATTTTTTTCTTTTTCCTGCCTACTCCCTAAGCTCTCACCCTAATACATACATACACACACTTATGCACACACACACACACACACACACACACACACATGCAATACTGACAGCCCAGATGAAAATGTCGCAGTATGCCCTACCAATGGTTTATCTGGAGATTTAGCTCTGTATAGGGAACATTGAGAACCATCTTTGTTATAATAGACTATAACATGTTATAGTGTACTCAGCGAGAAATAAGAAGACATCTAGACATAGGCAAATTCATTGGAGTTTATTGATGAAGCCGGCAGCATTAAACAAAAGGGGACAGGGCAGGTTTCCAGTCATACGAATTTAACAGTTCATAATGGAGACACTCCTCCAAGATGGAGTCATGCCTGCTTCAAACAGTAGTTCCATATGTAAAACATTTTATATTTATAGTTCAGTGGGAAAATGAGGAATGGAAATAGAAACAAAGGTGCACGTGAAAAATTACATTATTGCAATCTTTCATTTTGCTGCTGCAGCCCAGGCACGAGGGAGCTCAGACTTGCCTCTAGTGTCCTCTACTGTGGCAAAAAGTTCTGGTTGGATCCCAGTGAGACCAATGAAGTTGCCAATGCCGACTCCCGTCAGCAGATCCGGAAGCTAGTCAAAGATGGGCCAATCATCCACAAATATGTAACTGTCCATACCCAAGCTTGATGCCAGAAAAACAGCTTGGCCCATTGGAAGGGCAGAATCTGGACTTGGGTAAGCGAAATGGTACAGTCGATTCTAGAATGCCAGAGAACGGGACCTGGATGAGGAGAATGAGGATTCTCTTCTGGTTGCTCCTAAGATCCAGTGACTCTAAGAAGACTGATTGCCACGTATATCATAGCTTGTGCCTGAAGGTAAAGGGGAATGTGTTCAAAAGCAAGCTGATTCTCATGAGCATGGCCATAAACTGAAAGCACACAAGACTTGAAAGAAGCTCCTGGCAGACCAGTCTGAGGCCCACAGGTCTAAGACCAAGGAAGTACCAAGGTGCCATGAGGAGTGCCTCCAGCTCAAGGAGGAGGAGATCATAAAGATTCTGTCCAAGGAGGAAGAGACCAAGAAATAAAACTCCCCTTGTCTTGTCTGTACATAGTGGCATTGGCAATTACACAGATAATTGTTCGAATAAAACAAGTCGTCATAAAAAAAGGGGGGAAAAATACATTATTTGCTCTCGTTCCAGTGTTCATGCTCAGTCAGCAAATTCTGCCAAATTGAACACATACAAACAAACACACTCCTCTACTATCTCTCTCATTAATTTTTAAGTGTGAATATTGAGAGGTGACAGGTAAATAGTGAATTTTTTGTTTGTTTGTTTGTTTGTTTTAGAGAGGTTTTTGCTATAGGGTACCAGACAGACAGAGAGAGACAGAGAGACAGAAAGCAAGAAATCACCCCCCAGGGGGGGATAGTCATGCCACAGTCCCTTCTCCTCCATTCTCCTCTCGGGATCTTGGGCATGCACGCACACGCGCCCTGTGTGAGTTTTAAGCCACCGGGTCCGGGACGCGAATCATGGCTGACTATGTGGGAGTCCAGTGACAGAGCCATTACGTTAACTGCTGGTTCCCAATAGTGAATGTTTTTAAGAATCATGCAAATCTCTAAGTGGTTTATAAATGTTATCCTTTTGAAAGTAAATCTAAGATTTCTACCAAAAGTTCCCTTAGGTATTGAAAAATACTTTGAATTTAATGCAGTGAGATAAAGTATTTGTAATAGGTATATATATTTTAAAGCATTAAATTATGTAATAAGAGATCTCTTCATGGGAAGGGTGGGATAATTTTGCAGTAGAAAGATTGTTGTAAAAGTTTTTAAAGAAAGGTAATAGTGTAAGAACTATGTATCATAGTTCTTATAAACTTTGGTAGAAATGTCTGTGTAATTTTAAAGGAAAAACTATAGATAAAATTCCAACAGAAGAATAGAGGAAACATTGTTGATGTGCCCATCGCTTTTGTGGGATGATTTCTCACTTTTTCTCTCTCTTTTTCTTTCTGGAAAATGCACTTGCCCTATACCAAACTACAAAAACTAAGGAAAGAAAGAAAAAGAAAAAGAAAGAAAGAAAGAAAGAAAGAAAGAAAGAAAGAAAGAAAGAAAGAAAGAAAGAAAGAAAGAAAGAAAGAAAAAAAGAA